ATCCCGTCGACCGTGTCGCTGATACCCTCGGCTCCATAGGCGTCTTCCCCGTTCCCTTTGCCGTAGGTGGTGCTGCCGTGGTCCTCTTGGATGTAGCCCCCAACTCGCCCGAGCCAGTCCTGGCCTCAGACGAGGACCTCAACGGATCCTGCCCAGATCCTGTGTTCAATCTCGGCGAAGATGGTTTTTTTGCCGTAGAGCTCGGCTAATGTGCCACCGAAGAAGAAGGCCTCGGTGTAGCCCTGCCCCACATGTCGTCCTCGTGGAAGACCCTCTAGCCATTGACGATGATGCAGCCACCTCCTCCGCTTCCTTGACTTTCTCAACTCGCATGCTCTGGATCCTCGGGCCACCCCATCGCTCATGTGCCTTTGCCGCCAGCAACTCCAGCAGTTCATCACTGCGACCGTGAACACCGCAACCAGCATGCCAAAGACCTTCAGGTGGTCATAGCTTCCTCCACCATCGTTCTCCTCATGCTTGTCCTCCATGGCCACTGCACCTTGGACTTGCATGCAGCATCCCAACACCGTCACCTCCAATCTTGCCAGGACCGATCTCTCGATGTCCTCCTCTCTCTCTCCTCTCGCCTTCATGCCCATCAACTTCATGAGCTCCTTTGGTTTCGCCCCTGTCAAGGCCTTGGTGCCCACGTCGGCGATCATCTCGACTCCAGGTAGATGCCGAACTTGCCACTCATCCGCTTGAATCCTCCATCGAAGATGAAAGGTATGTAGGCGGAGATGACGTGTGCGCCAGGCCCCCGTGCTCTCTGCACACAGCTGAATCGCTGCCTGATTGTCTCCGAAGAGGTATCGCACGTAGTTCGCCCCCTCCTCAATCTCGTTGATGAGGGCTGTACTCAGCGCCGGGAATTCTTGTCTGCTTGACTTCCACGCAATCACCGAGTCCTGCCACTTCACCATCACGCAGCCGTGCGATAGAGCTCCTCCAGGCGCAAAGCTCGAGTCCATGTAGACCTGCAAACCCGCCCGATCAGCTCCATCCCAACCCACGCCAGTGTCCGGGGTGAACGTGAGTCCCGCCGCCGACGTCCCATTGAGGAACTTGAACGCCTGGAGGCCCACCTTCTGCACCCATCTTGGCGCTCGGGCCACGTGGCTTGCCAGCCTTGAAGTCACGAACGCCAGGTCTGGCCTAGCAACTCTTCGGCCACCTTCTGGGCGGCTTGCACTTCATCCGCCGTGATGTCATTCTCTACCTCCGGCTCAGCCATATCCTTGGACATCGGAATCGCCGACTTTCCCGTGATACCGTTCCGTTCCACGAGGTCCTTGATGTAGTTCTCCTGAGTGAGGAGGTAGGTGCCGTCAAAGGCTCTTCCTCACGGACTCGCTGGCCAATATCAGCATGTCATCCACATACACGACAACCAGGCCCTTCATGACCTCTGTCCCCTCTTCGTAGATGACCTTCCACAAGTTGGGTTCAGACTCCAACTGCCTCAACTTCAGCCATCCATCATCCCACTTCCATCGCCACTGTCGTCCCTGTAGTCGGACCACAGCCTTGGCGATTGTCTAAGTCCATAGAGTGCTCGCTCCGAACCAACAGCTGCGGGGGCTTCATAACGATGACGACCTCCCCTTCTTCATCAGCAGCTGCCAGCGGGGCATTCAGGAAGGCGCACTTCACATCCAGTGTCTTAGCTCCCCACTCCCTGACCGCCGCTGTCTTCACCGCCAGTCGCATCGCAACACTGTCACTGCCTCCCTGCTGATCGTGGCTGTCTCCATAGTTTCCACACACCACCAACCGGCAATTCTTCCGAGCTTCTAAACCCGGCTTCAAGGTGTACACCGCCTTTCCCGGCAGCACGTGCACCTTCCTGTCTGAGTTCACCAGCCTCTTGGCCTCCTCCGGCGATAGTCTCGTCAACGCCTTCTTCTCCAGCATGAGCGAGTCCATCTCTTTCAACGAAGTTCTCTTCCACCTCTCGACCCGATACGATCTTTGTTTGCAACACTTCCTGGTGCAGCTTTGCCTCTGGGGTCTCATCTCTGACCGTCTGCTCCTCTGCCCTCAAACTCTGGATGCTCTTGACGATGATATCCACAACCTCAGGCTCGTCCTTGAGCATGTTCTTCTCCTCCTCTTCTGCAAGCTGCGCCAGCCTTCTCGCATACTTCAACGTTCCATCCTCTTCTATAGCTTGTCCCTTGGAGTCTTCTCTCTTACCCTTCTCCTCAGCCCGTACGGCTCCTCATCTTGTTGGGGCTTTTCTGCTCCTCTCTCGACCAACCTCCAGTCTGGTCCCTCTGTTGGCATCGGTGTCCACTTGTGCAGCACATATGCTGCTGTTTGGATGGATCCATCATCCTTCACAACCGCATGCCCACTTGGCACCTCAGCGATCGCGCTCATGAATAGTCCTTCTCATTCAATATATCCCACTCCTTTCTCTTCCACGTTCTCTTCTTCACCAACACCTCCTGACCAAATCTCGGCATGTCGGCGGGCTTTCCCAGACGGCTCCTCTTCTCCTTCTCCACTGCATATCTAGCCGCACATGGCCAGTACTCTCCTCCCATCTCAGCAGAGTGAAGTAGACGTCGGGTCCGATCTTTCAGCCCCCTGATTGCCCTTTCCGCACGGCCATTCTGGCGGTAATCGTCGCCTGCAGTTGATGTCTTGGCAATATCCCTCGCCAGGCACCAGCTCGCCAACACCTTGTTCTTGAACTCACGCCCACAATCAGAGTGAAGTCGGGCTAAAGGGAGATTCTCCCGCCTCAGCTCAAGGTGCATCTGTTGGATCGCCTCCAAAACCTCCCGCGAGCTCTTGCTCACCAAGGGCATCATGAACCGCAACGTCTTCACTGGTAGTGGTGGAAGGCCTTCTTCATCTTCTCCTCCCTCCTCTTCTTCCTCTGCTTCCGCCGGGTTCATCTGGGCGTCTTCCAACTCCCAGCTCGAAGTCCCAGTCTCCTGCCTCTAGAGGTGGTAACTCCGGCTCGTACTCTTCTTCCTCTATCACCAGTTCTGGTCGAGGCTGTGGGTCAGTCGCTCCTTTGATCATGAAGATTGTTCTTCCTGCCCATCTTGAATCATCCTCGAAAAGTCGCTCGCCAGTTCCTGCAGTGCTCCAATCATCAGTCACCGTCACGTACGCCGCGCCCTTGGCCTGCGCCTCGCGTCCGTCAGCTGGTCTATGGGTACCGGACACTCCTCAGCCTTTTCCGGGCAGAACTTCCCCTTTCGGTGGGACTATTCGTCCATCGATGCTCTTGGTCCAGTAGTCCGCCAACCTCCCGTTCTCATCTTGGATCTCCCCCTCCTGGCCCTTGTTCCCTTTTTCGTAGAACAGGATTGTCTTCAGGTTGCGGGTCTTGTCCAAGAGTCGATGAAGGGCATCCTCTTCCAGGTTCGTCACCTCCACACTCTCCAGAACCTCACCTGTGTCGTTGTCTATGGTCACCCGCCACATTGCCTGCACCCGTTGAGGAACCTTCCAACTCCCCGGAGCCAATCCATCAATCTCCTCATCCCAAACCTCTTCCTTTCCACCACGAGGAAGGGTATAGGCACCCATGAGGAAGTACCTACAGCTCTTGCCGTCCATGTCGTGTCCTCGACGAAGAGGTCCCGCCAAATCCACAGACAAGATGGCCTGGGGATGAGCGATACGCCGATGTGCTCGCCCTTGTGCGGACGCTTCCTGGCATACACGACAGTCGCGCCGGTATGGCGTAGTGACGCTGGCCGGAGGCGAAGAACGTTGGATGAGAATGACCGGGAGGAATCATCATCCATGACGACCCGGATGTGGACCCGATCATGCCCTTGAGAGTCCTGATCAAATCCCTGGGGTGCAAGGTGGAGTGGTCTGGCATGGAATGCGCGGTGGAGCACCCACGAAAAGGAAAGTTGAAGGTGACCATGAAGGATGAATCGTATGTAAGCAGGGCTGTGGCGATGAAGCTTCTTGACGAGCTAGAGGAGGTGAAGACAGAGAAAGGCTGATACAGGCGCTGATAGAGATGAAGGCCATGTTGGTGGGAGGAGGAGGCTCCTGGAGAAGATCCCCTTTGGCTACACCTCTAGGCAGGGCCAGAGGAGGTTACCCTCTGTCACGAGCCGTGAAGGAGCTGGGAGGTTCTGCTGGAGGTGGACATCCAGAGAGGTAAGGAGCATGATATGGTGAGGGGCCCACTCTACGGCACGCTCTTGAGGCTGGCGCAGGATGGGCATGGTTGGAGGACCGAACTGTCGGACTAGGAGTGTGCTAAGGCATTACCCTTTGCCGGAAGCTGGAGGAGGCCCGAGACCGGTCAGGGGGCCCGCGGTGCAGGAGCAGCTTGGGAAAGCAGATTTGGCCGAGCACGAAGCCAAGGCAGTGTTCGAGGATGACGTGACGATGTGGAGAATGATGGTCATCTACCTGGTGGCAAAGAAGGCGGCGCTACGAAAGGGAATTGAAGAACCCCATTTCCTCGTGGAGCACCCAGCTAGCCCGGAGAGATACATGCCAGAGTGTTGGTCGCGGTGGCGAACGCCGCAGTGGAAAGCAATGAAAGACAAGGAGGGCCTGAATGAGATCACCTTCTTTCAGAGCGTGTTCGGAGGAAAGGCAGCGAAACCTACGACGCTGGGCACGGACCTGGAGTTGGTGACCCCTGAGGAGAGCCAAAGCAGCAAAGAAAGGAGGTCTACTCGTACGACCAGAGCTGCAACAGATGTGGAGGGCTTGAAGGAGCTTGCGAGCTGGGCGCCGGGACTGATGCGGTCCGTGGCAAAGGCGCTGATGGAAGCAGGAGGTATTAAGACGGCTGTGAGAAAGTTATCGTGGGCCGAGCATTTGGCAAACGGTCATACTCGCACTTCCTCCATAGATTCGAGGTCGTCCGAAGGTTTGCATCCTCGAAGTGGATGAGTGGCCCCTGAGTCCAGCAAACCAAAAACGGCTCGGATCAAACTCGACAACTGGGGCTGATTCAGCCTTGGGTCTCCTCGGATCTCGTCCAGCTGGTTCTGCAGCATCTCCAGCCGGTTCTCCCTTTCTTTCCCGTTCTTCACCACTGGTCTTGTTAAGGCTCCTCAGCATCTTGCTTGCCTCCTCCAACACCTTAGTGACCGAGCTGGCAGCTGTCTCCTCTACCACCACCTCTTTCTTGTTCTTGTCATTCACCTGGTCCGCCACCGTCTTGACTTCGGTCGTTCCTCTTGCCTCCTCAGCCTTGAATGGCTTCACTGTCGGCGCTGTTGCTCGATCTCCTCCTCCAGGCTTGGAGATCTTGCGCGGGCAATCCTTCCGCATGTGCTCCGTTGAACCGCAGTCCCAGCAGCGTCCTCGAGCCGTCTCGTCTGTCGGATGCAGCCAATCACATCCTCGACCTCGCCGGCAGCCGCTGTCGGACATGTAGAACTTGCAGGGGGTTTTCCCCTTTCCTCCTCCTTTTCCGTCGCCCTTGCCTTCTTTGCCTTCTTTCCCTTCTTTGCCTTCACGGCCTTCTTTGGACACCTGCCGTGCTGGCCTTCGTAAGAACCTTCTTCTCATTCAGGAACCGTCTGCTCCAGCTCCGCCAGCTGCTCCGCAGCAGCACCGTCGCGTGGTTTGGAACCGAGTCCACTTGCAGTGTGCTCCTTGCCAACGAAACTCGGAAAGTCAACTCCCGGTTCGCCTCCAAGACCTTCTTCGTGAGCTTCGTCAGCCCTCGCATCAGGATGCTTGAATCAGGCAGGGTCAACCCAACATCTCCTGCACGTCGTCGCCACCTAACCCACCGTCTCAAGCCCCTCACCGCATCCGCCACTGACTGAGCGTCTCCAAATTTCTCAAGACCACGGCCTTCTCGGCCAGTCCTCCCGGCTGATAGGCGATCATCAGCTTGCACAGGACCGCAAACGTCGTGACGGCCTGCGACGAAATCAGCTCATCGCGGATTCCTTCCGGTACCGCCTGGATCAGCATCGATACCGCTCTTCGTTCCACCCGACTCCACTTCTTCATCCTCAAAGATGCAGGTGTCTCCGGGATCATGTTCATCCGCTTGATGGGGACTTCCTTCAAGTAGCGGGCATACCATTCCTTTGCCTCGGTGACCATCAGCTGCCACCACTCAGCGCTCGAATCACTCAAACCGGCAAGGAGCGGCTCTATGATGATCATCCAGTCACCCAGATCAATAGGGCCTGACTCCGCCGTAGGTTCACCCAGCCTTGGCAGCTCGGTGATACCAGGGCGAACCACCTCCACCGCCTCTTGGTTCCCTTTCCCGGCACCGCCCATAAATTGCTGTTGCATGGCTTGCATTCCCTCCAGCAGCTTCAAGATGACATCCATCTGCTTCCCGTTCTTTCCGCTGTCCGCCACCGATGCCGGCCTTAGCTCTGAAGACGATCCGTCATCATCTTCGTGTTCACCACCATTGATCTTGCCGTTGGTCACGTCCGGGTTCATGCCCTGGTTGCGCACATTCTGGCCATAGCTCACGTCCACGTTGCCTCCCATTACCTCCATGGGCTTCCGGCTGTAGTCCCGTCCTGCTCCAATGGTGTCCCCGTTCTTCTTATCCTGAATGCTCAGCACCTTGCTCTTGTCCCGACTCTGCGGGGTGCCGTAGCTCTCTTCCACCGCCTTGCTGTTCTTTAGGCTCTCAATCTCCCTCAGCAGGCACTGATTCTGCGCCATGAGCTCGTTCACCAGCCGCACCACTGACTCCTGATTCTCCGCAGGTGTCCATGCCGCCGTTGGCATCCTCGTCATAGCGCTGCCCAGCTCCATACCCGCCTCCATAGGTTTAGGTAGATGCCGAGGTCTTTCTTGGTCCATCCATGTGATCCATCTCTCCGCCACCGAGTCAGGGTCTCCATCTGGGCCTCGTTGAACAGGGGTTCCAGAGCCACAGGCTCGTCTCCATCTCCTTTGCCTTCTCGACCGCGGGAGCCTTCTTGAAGGACCGTTCTTCCCGAAGTCGACCTCCTCGGCGTGTCGAACTCCTCGGACGTCTTCCCATCGGAGACCAGCTCCAGGCACTCCACCGCCTCCTCGGGCTCTTGCCGTCCGAGGCCTCCAGGAGATGCCATGGCTTCACCGCGTCCTCCTTGGGCTCATAACCTGTAAGCCCAGGTTTCAGCTACGCGCCTGTTTTCTTGAACACAAACTGCTTCCATGTATTCCTAGAATAATATTTCACCAAGCTGAAATAAGATGGCTTGGGGGGATATTCCCCACATAAACAACCATTTGGGGCTATAATTCACCCAGATCCATGGGCCAAACCTGGAACTCCCCCCAAAAGCGAGCGCCTGGGCACCGAGGGCTGCCAGCTCCGCACATCTCTGATGCGCTTGGGGCTGGTCTTTGGGCTCGTGGCCTCCAAGCAACCGGACCGCAACCTCTGGCTTCCATTTGGCTGAGGCCCCTGGAAAAAATACAAATGTCCAGTAGTGATAAATTCCTCTAAAAAACCAACAAGGGAACATAAAAAAGTCTTAAGCAAACGGAAGCTGGGATTTCCGTGAGGCTGGCTCGCGGACTTTTTTTGGAGTTGGGGTGCCTTTTTGTTGGGTGGCGGTCAAGCGAAGCCAGGGGGAAATCCAGCATTTCTGGGGGGTCTCTCCTAAAGAAAGACGCCCAAATGAAGGAACACAAGTACGTGACGTTTTTTTTGGTTTGCATGGCAGAGAAAAACACACATATATATATATATATAATAAGACATATTCTTCGGCAAATGGAAGCAACTGCTTCGGGGGTTTTCACCTTGGAGACTCCGAGAGGCAAAGGTTTCATGGCGCCAAAGGGCACGAGACCACTGCCTCCCTTCTGTTTTTGGCGGGGGAAGGGGGGCGGGGGGGGGGGGGGAGGTGGGAATCCTTCTTCGAGGGCACTCTTCCTCTTGTGGTTTTCAAGAGGACAACCAAAAGACGAAAACAAAATTACACCAGCCTCGGCCCCAAACAGCAAAAAAGCACGACCGGTCTGTATAGCCCAAAAAAAGCTTGTCTCCTTCATGTGAGGTGCGAAATTGTGTAGCTTATGTGAGCAACACAGAGTTACAACCAGTCCATGTATGTCCCTGCAGGAAGTCCCCTTTTTTGGGAAGAGGATGCATCGGGTCCATCCATCTCCTTGACGCCGGGTAAAAGCATCGATGTTGTTCATCGACTTCGAGGAGAAAGTTCCATGTCAATGCCATGTTCGAGAGTGAAGGCCCGGGGGTTCGGGGTGAATCAACCTAACACCTGGCATTAATCAAAGGAAGTTTCGAAGGAACTTTCGTAGTACGTACACTCAATGCACTTTTCCATCACCGCAGCATTTGGTGGCCGTCTCGCTACTCTGCTGAAACTTCGCATCAGTCTCAGCAGCCTGCGGCCGAGACTGGGCACATGCCACTTCTGTTTGCTATCTTCTTCTCGAGCTCGGCTGCTAAGTCTTGCCACAAGCAAAGCGAGAGAGCACTTGCATAAACTTGCAGACTG